TTTACTATTTCAGCCAAACAATCGCTTTAAATACATGTAAATGTTCCGTCTGTCTACATTTTATACACACACGCACACACACACACACATTCAGACCTGTGTTGTCCTCAGTGGTGACACGTTCATGTCACTTCTCAGCTTCTCAAGTGTCTCACAAACAGATGCCAATTTACCAACGCCACTTCTATCTGCAGTTTACGCACCCAACCACCCACACACACACACACACACACATATGCACAGGCATACTGTACATGTGCACACTTGACACAGCTGAAAGACTGCTGGAGAAAATGACCTTCACGACTGCTGCTAAGTAACGACTGCACTCCCTGAAACAAACAAACACACACTCACACTCACACACACAGACTGACAAAGTTATGTACATTAAAACAAACTTAGCGTTATTTAGTTAAACCTTTATTTCCTAAAAAGTTTGTTGATCCAGAACATTTGGTCCATGATGTACCCATATAGGGCTGCCAACCACCCCTTGGAAAAATGGAATCTCCCGTATTTAGAAACAAAAAATAAAAGGGACGCTTCATGCCGCGGGAATTAAAAATAGCCTCTAACTTGTCAATGGAATTAATGAATAACATGGCGTCCTGAGGAGTGAGTTGGTAACACTACATGTATATGTGTGTGTGTGATGTACATGTTTTGTAGGAATTGGTTTTGTATAACATCACATCCTAAATGTGGATTAAATCACGACATCCCACCGTCCTAAGTTTCCATTTCCGTTTCTTCTTTCGGCAGTTACTTCTGTCAAATTAAATATTTCAGATTTGGTAAAATGAACCCAGAGGGTGAAAATACTACGACGTGTCACGTCGAAGGAGCGGCGGTTAAAGACCAGTGAGATGGTTGGTTGTTACTGATTACCTTCATCAATTTCCTCTAATCTTCTCAGCCCCTCCTGGGTCTCCTCCTCACGTGTGTCACAGCTGTTCTGTTCTGTGTGTGTGTGTGTGTGTGTGTGAGTGACTGAGAGAGTGTGTGTGTGTGTATTAGCATAGTAAGAAGAACTACAAACACCGTATCCACGTACAGCCTACACTGAGTATTTAACATAGGTGTTCACTGTCATCACTCAACACTGTCATTTAGTTAATCACACAGTGTTCCTCTCTCTCTCTCTCTCTCTCTCTATTGCTGTGTGTGTGAGAGAGAGAGAGATTTTCACACAAAAGATAGCTGCACATGTTCATGTGCATGTGTGCTCTCAGCTCCACAGTGGGCCCCCTGCAGGGTTCTCTGTGTAAGTACTCCCAGACTCTCCGATAACTCACCCATAAAATTCAGCTCAAGGAAACAAAAGGATAAAAGTTAGAAAAAATAATATTCCTCAGAACTCTGGACTCTTTTTGTCCTCGTTGCCACTGGTTACCAGCAGGTGATGTTTGGGGTGCGATCTCATTAAAGGACCCGCTCGTCTTTCCTGCTCTGTTGTGAATGACAACTAGGAAAGTACTACAGTTGTTATTACAGTACTTTACCTTATTGGACCTCCGTAGAGTCTCATTAGAGCGTGTTGCCTAAAAGCCTGCATTAAGAGGCCCATTAACAGAAATCAATAGTTCCACGATGAACAACACCCGACGACAAATTACACCAGGAGTTACCTGTGTTTCTGACGAGACGTTTGTGTTTGTACATGAATCAGTCAGAAACATCAGAAACCTGCATCATATTTGTCAACTGTGAGTTCAAAAAATCAGATCTCAGAACCAGAACTCACCCTAAGTACAAGTATATAAGAAAACCTTCATATTTAAAGGAATATTATTCAACAAAAGTGTTTGTGCTTTTTCTACTTTCAAACTTTATTAAGCAAACCGGATTGAGCCATACGTTTGACTCCCCCGTACTAAGGGTTCCTGTCAGAAACCATATGTCTAAAAGATAACTGGCT